GCAACAAAACATGACAGTTCCTGTTCGTTGTCTAACCATAGCCCCGGCCCGATTTCCAGTTTGCTCTCCCTTCCCTCCCTTTTAATAAGTTTACAGGTGAGGATCCCTGATCTGAAAATTTGAAGTCTGAGATGCTCTAAAATCCACAACTTCTTCACAGTGCCAAGAAGATTCAGTAAAGCAAAAGATAGGTTTTCTTGCCAGGGATTTAGCTCAGTGGCACCATACCTGCCTTGCAAGTGCAAAGTCCTGAGTTCAATCCCCAGTACCAGGAAAAAAAAAAGATAGGCTTTTCTTTGTAAGTTCAGCTTCTAGAACATTCTAGATTTCAGGTTTTAGGACTTCCCAACTAGTAAGATCTGTGCAAATATTCCCAAACCCAGTAACTCCTAAGTCGGAAGTACTTCTGGTCCCTCGTATTTCACATAAGTGATACTCAGCTTGCAGGTTTTTGTGTAAATCTTCGTTCTTTCTGCAGTGAATTCATGCAGTATGAGTTGTACTACAGTTTTCTGTCTTTTATCTGTTAATATCTTGGGGATCTTCCCAGTCTGTTAAATGCCTTCTATAATGTTGAATTGAGTATCCATATTCCTTTATATGCACAGGACTATTTCTGTAGATTACTGTCCTGAGATCCTTTGTGGTTTATTCATTTTGTGGAGAATTTGCTCAACCCTGTCAGTCTGAGGAACTCTGTGACCGTACTTTGAAATAAATTTCTTGGCTATGGATTTGTTCCCCTTAGCAAGAGAGTTGGAAACCATGAGCTGATGAGGCTGGAAGATTGCAAATTTCAGACCAGCCAGGGAAATTTAGGGAGACCCTGCCTCAAGGGTTTAAAAAAGGTGGAGCTGAGATGTAGCGTAGTGATAAGAGTGCTTGCCTATTCACGTGTGAGGCTCTGTGTCCAATCCCATTTCCCCAAAGGAGGAAAAAGTGCCATTTCAGCCAGCATGGGAAAATGCAGCCCTATCCAGGATTAATGGGACAGATAGGGAGTTTTTGAAGGGATGATTGGAAAGACCTTCCAAGAATGTGTCATATAGGCAAATATTTTTGTATATGTACCAATTCTCCAGGTTGAATGTAATTACTGTGTATCACAAAAGGAAGAATTGCTGGCTGTGGTGGTACACGCCTGTTATCCCAGTCCTTGAGAGGCTGACGCAGGAGGATTACTGCAAGTTCAACCCCAGCCTGGGCTACATATGAGACCTGCCTCAAAAAAAAAAAAAAAAAAAAAAAAGGTGGGGAGAATAATAATTGAATACTTTTTACACTAATGACACCCGGTGCCCTCTCCTTTCCAAGCATCCATGATAGTCACATGGACATTGTGCAGTGACATAAGGTAGTGACGTGGGCACAAGCCCTTCGTGATATTCTCCCCAAACTAGCCCCCTGGGCTTAGCACACAGGCACACGAGAGAACTGGAGTGCCAGGGTCGCACGCACAAGGTAGATACTGTCTAAGGAGCTGTCCAGGGTGAGTGTGACCAGGAGAGGTAATAACTAAAGCATTGTACTGTTTACCTCTCGCTTTGTAATAGAAAAAAAAAAGATGTTCATGGAAAAATAGGGGAAACCTGAGTAAAAGCTGCAGTTTACTGTTGTAACAGTTTCTACAGTGTGCTGCTGTATGTACATTAAATATAAGATATTTTATTCCTGTGCCGCGGTTATAAGAAAACCCAAGTGCAGCTCCTGTATAAATCTAACATTATTTTAAAATGAAGTATTTTTTATTTTAAAATTATGTCTTAGCTCAGAGGTTCCGCTGCCTGCCTTGCAAGCGCAAGGACCTGAGTTCGATCCGTGGTACAAAAAAAAAAAAAAATGTATCTCTGTACTTCTGGACGATTTATTCCTAAAATATCGTCTCCCCTAGGAGACAACTCCTGCCCTCTTATATCCCAGTGAGTCATTCCTTTTAGAGTGGAGTCACCTGGGCCGCTCTGGGATGGGGATCTGGTGTGTTTGCAGGGGTTGGATAGGGAGGCTGTTTAACAACAGCCACAGGCAAGGTCGCAGGTGGGCCTGATGCAGGCTGTAGCGGACTTTCCTCTGCAGTATGTGAAAGAGCCATTCAAGGATGATGGGGCAAAGCTGGCGTCCCAACAGGGTGTTTTGTAAATTGTAGCCAAAATTGCCTTCCCCAGTCGAGAGAAAATCTGCCAGTCAGAAGTCTAACGTGACACCTTAACACAGAAATGCGGTGCCAGATGGTGTAAGTCCAGCCCCAGCAGCCTCTCCGGTGCAGAGGGGGCTGTGCTGGCAGGCAGTGGTGGAGTAATGGGCCTCTCTGTGGGGAGCGGATGTGCAGTGCTCCTGCCGCAGACAGAAGCCATGCCCAGCAAGCATAGTGGGCATCTCACATACAGCGCAAAATTGGTCGGGACCAGGGGCTATAAAGCTTCCCTGTCTGCCCCGGGAGGTGGGGTTGAAAAGTCACCCTTGCCTGTGGCCTGACGCACTGTGATGTCACTCCCCTTGCCCAGATTACTGTTAAACTGTGAGTCACTCCTCCTGGTGCTTCATGAGAAGCTGGAACCTAAGATCCCCTATGGTTGATGTAAGGTTTCTCTTGAACGGGTAGACCACCTGTTTACGATTTTGCTTTCAGTTTCCTGTTAGGCAGTGGGCGCCTAGACAAGGACTGTCTGTAGATGTGAGTAGGCTGAGTCATGTGAGTAGGCTGAGTCAGTCACAAACAAGTAAACGGTTCTGTTTTTATTGCTGGTAGCCAAGCTGTTAGTGGATATAGTGTTTCAAGAAATGCTGCTTGTTTTGCTAGTATTTGACTTGTAACAGTGGTCCACAGATTTCCTGTAAAGGGCTAGACGGTGCCCGCCCCCCACCCCGGGGTCAGGAGGCCTTGTAGCTCAGCTACATATCTGCCATGTGTTTTCTCTTGCTTCTCTTCTAAGCAAGGTTTTAAAAATGTGAGCGTTCCCTGTCCTTCATGGTGTCTCCATGTTTGGTGATAGCACCTGAGGTTTGGGAGACTTGCTTTATTTAAACAATGGTCTGAAATTTCTGGCTGGAGCCTTAATAGCACTGGCAAAGGATGTGTGATTTTGACTTTCATTAATTTATACAAAAATGAATGTGCAGTTGATTGATGTCTTATTGTAGGCATTTTGGCACATCAGTAGGAGATATTCTTCCTGAATATGACACTTGTAAAACCTACCGTCCATGGAAAACTGGCTGTCCAGAAATTACAGGTCTCATTTTCAATTTCAAATCAATATTTTTGTGAGGCATGTCTTATTTCTAAAGAAACATTGCTGTATAATTTATTTCATGTTAATATCTGGCAGTGGTAACCTATTTTGTTTAAAAGTTTTTTTCATCAGATTTGTTTTATGATTATGTTATAGTTTCTTCTTTTTATATATTCTTGAGCTCAAACCTTCCTTGAATTTGAGTTGCGTTTTCACCAATTCTGCCCCAAACCATCCTTTGCTAGACTCTAGCAGGCAGTCTTCAGGATACTAAGCCATTCTTGGGTTTGCTGTGGAAAAAAATCCAAATTCCCCTAAAAGGCTTAAGTGGTTGCTTGATAGACTGTGATTTTGCTACCTCACGTTTTTTCTGAATGGGTCCCTAAGCTTAGGCATTTAAAAATTTGAACTTTATTTCTTCAGTTTCCAATTTTAATAACATTCTGTCAAATACTCTTTATAATTCTTGCTTTCTCTGAACAATGAATGCTTAACCCAGCTGACAGATTTACAGTTTTACCATTAAAAGCTCACTTAATGTCTGCTTTCACACTGGCTTTCTAAAAAGTATTTTCTCTCAGACAATACTTGGAATTGTCAATATTTTCCAAAATAATTTTAATAAGATAAATTGTTAGGGGAGCATGCACATACAATTTTAAAATCAATATTTTGTTGCGCAGGAACATATTGGCTCAATAAGTAGCTGATTGGGTTTTTAAAACAGTTTTTCCTGTTTCAATTCTTAAAGTTTTTTTTAAAAAGTCTCTTGACAGTTCTCTTTTTAGATATTTTGAATTCTGCACTGCCAGCTTCCTGGGAGGCTGAGGCAGAAGGATTTAAGTTTAAGGCCAGGCTGGACAACTTATGAGATCCTATTCAAAATAAGAGAAAGGGGAGGGGATCTATATGTCTATATCTATATCTATATCTATATCTATATCTATATCTATATCTATGTCTATTTCAGTGTGAAGGCCCTGAGTTCAATCCCTGGTTCAACGATAATATACAGACAAAAACCAACTTGTATCTTAACCAAATGATGTTTGTTTATGTTTTATTACTGGGATTGAATCCAAGGGTGCTGTATCATTGAGCTACATTCCCTTCCCTTTTTATATTCGTTTTGAGGCAGAATCTTGCCAAGCTACCCAGGAGGGACTTGAGCTTGCAGTCCTCCTGCCTCAGCTTCCCAGGTGCTAGAGTTACAGGCATGCACCACCAGGCCCAGCTCCAAATGAAGGCTTCCTGACTGGCCAGAACTGACTCGGTCACAGTGACTTCCTGATAGAAATTTTCTTTCTCTTTTGCAGAGTTCATTGCTGATGTTGCCAGGCCAACCACAAAGAGGGAAAGTTTCCTATATAAAGAAAAGAAACCCTGAATAGTAACTTCTTATGCAGAAGCAAAAGAAGACGAATCTTTCCCCCTTTGTCTGTGTCTTGGCGTGATGTCTGTGTTTTGAAGACTGCCTTGGCTCCTGAGTTCTAAATAAACGGGACAGTGTAATTCTGTGCTGTCTGTCTGTCCTAACACAGTGTGGGATGTGAGTGAGCCCCTGGGGGAGAGGTCACATATCAGGTGGCTGTCACCCCATGCTCCTGCTCTGTCCTTTTGAGGTGCTGGGTTACAGGTGACTGTGTGGACCCTGGAAGGATCCATGTAACAGATCAGTGCTGGGCCTCCCTGAAGTCTGGAGAAATGTAACTTAGCAAGCAGAGCTGCCCTCACCATTTTATTTACCTCCTTTTCTCTCTGAACTCACAGGCAGCAGTACCTGTCCGAAGGTCACCCTGGTCCCACCGTGTCTGACGAGCAGCGTGACCACACTGGTCGACCAGAATGTGTCCGAGGAGGCTCAGGGAATAAATGGGAAGACACAAGCGAAACGCTGCACTCCAAGTCCAAAGCCACAAGGTAGGCGGCAGTGGGTGCTCTGTTGCTCAGTTCTGACTGGTGAAGGCTCCCGGAAGAACGATGACCACAGGAGAATGTTAATCCCTAGAAGGGGAAAGTCATGCATTTTCCCCCAGAGGATTGTCAGTGTGGAAAGCTCCTCAGGCAGAGGCCGAATTTGCTCTGCTTCTAAAACAATGCATTATTTTTCTGTATTAGGGTCCTTCTCACTTTGCTGTCGTTGTTCGCATGTCCTACCCCAGTGCGGGACCTTAACTGACAGTTTGTATAATAAATGCGTTTAGAACTAACATCAGCAAGAGATGACTTGCTAGATGTCAGAGTGAGAATCAGGTAATTCTGAAACAGTACTTAGCATGCTTAGCAAGAGCTTGATTGGGCAGCCTCCAAAGTGCCTTTTGGAAATGTTGTGCCCAGAAATGAAATATTACAGCCTCTGCATTCAGGGTGAAATGGCCAACAAGGGGGAGAAAGTAAATATGATGGTGGAAGGCTTTGTTCAGTGACCATTTCCTTTTACAAAGAAATTTCCAGTGAACTGCGTATTAACTTTGGGAAACACAAAATTACAGTCTTGATGGTAGAGAATAAGGCCTTTTGAAATCTGGCACAAAAGCTAAGCTATAGTATAGCTTTTTTTTCCCTTGAGAATTTTGCACATGGATACACTATGGCTTTTAATGTACAGTTTCTTCCCATTAGCTTTTCACTTATAATGAATGCTGAACATTCATCTAAGAAACAATACTGGGCATTCTCAGAATGACTGTACTTTAGAAAAATCAATTTATGGTTTTTTTTATTTTGTATTTGCTTTAGTTTCTTTCCTATTGCTAAGAAAAAAGGGTACAGGAAAATATATTATGAATGAACTGGTGTTACTCTTTAAAGTTCTCTTTGTTAAGGGTTTCAGAAATCTTTAAAATGAATTTAAGGTGGAATCTTCTAGGTTATAGGATATTTGTCTCTTTGTTCTCACTACTAGCTGTATTTGTGGTGGTATAGTATATGCCTATCAAGTTAAATCGATTAAATGGAGATTTAAATGACTAGTCCATTCAGGAGCATATCACCGCTTCCTTTGGCCATACTCCTCATAACAATGGTGTGAATATAAATGCAGAGTATTTCTTGACCTTCATTTAAGCTGTTTTATTTGCAAAATACAAAATTCTACCTTCCTTATTAGACCTGAGTTGATGAGGGCCACATATTATGTAAGACTACAAGAAATGAGTACAATTTTAGTTCAAGTAATTGTCCGGGTCAAAAGCAAGCATTTCTTTATTTTAACAGCCCCTTCTCCGAAGATGCATCTCCTTACTTAATGGTTCTTTTTACAGTCAGTGTATTGAGAAAAATTAAATCAGCATCTTTCCTGAGCTGCCGAGTATCAAAAAGTCCTGTATGTAGGGAGGCAATACTTGACCTCAATTTTAGTCTTTTGTACTTATATTAAAGTAAATATATTGCTGTTTATAATCTTATTACTTACTGTCTTAAGACTGTATCACATACACTTTTCTATAATTCAGGGAATATTTCCACATACTAAGTAAATCACACAGCGCATCCTTCCCCCAAACATCCTTTCAGTGTTTGGCCCTTCCCTGGCACCCATAGCTAAACTTAACCTCATCCTTGGCCCTAACGTTGTATATTTTCCTGCCTTAGTCTCTTTGGACTTCTGAGACAAATTACCATAAGCAGGCTGTCTTACTTTTCTCCATTCTGGTGGCAGGAAGTTGGGGGTCAGGGCTGGCAGGTTTGCTGGTGGAGAGGCTGGCTTTCTGTGTCGTACCGGCCTGGCCTGCAGGCAGTTTGGCTGTTGCAGTGTCAGGTGTACCAATCCCGTTGTGGCAGTTAGACCCACATGGCTGAATCACGTTCTCATACTGGCATGTGGAGCAAAAGGTGTCATCTCGAATTTGGCGAGGACGTGAACAGTTTGGCGCATTCCACCCATGGTGTGTTCTGCTCAACCCACTCGGTTTTTGCATGATCACACACCCTCACAGTGCAGGTCTACAACACCACTCATCACCACACAGCTCCCGCTTTGTTGCTGTCCTTTAAAACCACACACGTGTTCTGTGCAGGGACCGGCACCCCTACAAAAAAGCTGACGCTTATCATTGTCAGCTGAGCTGCCTGACAGATCAGGTCATGCTTTACTGACCAACAGTAGTGATGAGAGAAGCTACTTTTCATTTCTTCCGACCCTTTGAGTAGCAGAGGCAGAGAAGGGAAGTGGGTGCCAGTGGGGACCTCCTGTGTAGAAGCAGGGACGAGCGCACCAACGCCTTTCTCCCCAGGAGTCACAGATCTCTTAGATTGTGAATTCTGGGGTTGCAGAGGCTGAAGAGACATTGCGTACTTTCATGGAATTAAGCCTCATCCTGGATCAGTAATTCTCAGCCAGAGTCCAGTTTGGCACCCACCACCACCTTTTATGGAGCCTGGGTAATACACGGACATTTTTGTTTTGTTTCTGCCAGTGCCTGGGAGAATTGCTGCTGGCCTCTGCTGGGTAGAAGATAGGGATGCTGCTCAGCACCCTAAGATCCAGAGGCAGCCCTACAAGCAGCCTCGTAGCAAAATGTCACCCAAACCAAAATACCAGGAGTGCTGCAACTGAGAAGCTCCGATTTATACAGTGAAAGAGAATCTAACTAAAACCCTGGGATAGTGAGATATTAGCTACAATTTATTTTGCTGATTTAAGGAGACAAAGCACTGTTGGTGTATGTATCCCTTTATTAGTGATTGTACATAATGTGTCTGGAACAATGCAGCGTTTTTGTTACCAAGGAGTAAGTGTTTTTGAAGAATTGTGTATAGGTTTTAAAAAACTAAAAGAGCTAAATTTTCTATTAGAGATTGAAGTTGCATTTGGGTCTAAATGGATGCATAGATTTTGACAGGATTTATTCAATAGAGCTTGTTTTGCCTTGGCCTCAGAAAACACCCTAAGGCCTTGGAAAATAATGGCTTGTTCACTTCATACCAATCTTACCAGTCAAATCACAAGCAACATCAAGCAACAATCACAGTATAAGTCTTTCTTCTTATTCACCACTTTTAATGTTGGCCTGTTTCCTGCCTTGCTAGATGTAACTCAGAATAGCTTCTGTAAAGCAAAGAGCTCTTTTCTAAGAGCTTTGGTCCACAACATTCTCTAATTCACAGTTACTTTGGCAACACTCACATGTTGCCACAGGATGTCTCACTCATTAAACCTAAATATTTCTTAAAATTTCATGAACTTAAAGCCACATTATTAGTTGAATAATTTACATAAGTATGGAATGCACAAACCTATTTATTTGCTTTGAAAATAAAATAATCAATGCATAAATAACCCATCTTTTAAAAGAATATATATGTAGCCAGTCATTTCTCATTTATATTAAAATCAGAGTCAAATACTTTTTCTGCATCTATCGAGAGGATCACATGGTTTTTGTCCTTGACTTTGTTAATATAGTGCATTACATTGATTGACTTACGTATGTTGAATCATCCTTGCATCCCTGGAATAAATCCGAGTTGGTCAGGATGTACAATCTTCTTGATGATCCTCTGTATTCTGTTTGCTAGTATCTTAAGGATTTTTGTATCTATATTCATTAAGAAGATTGGCCTGTAGTTCTCTTTTTTAGTTGCTGCTCCTCAAAGAACTATTATCTAGAATATATAAAGAACTCAAAAGAGTCAGCCCCCCCAAAATATAAAGACCTGATGCAAAAATGGGCATCCGAAATGAACAGACATTTCTCAGACAAAGAAGTAAAAGCAGCAAGTAAATATATGGAAAAATGTTCCACATCACTGATCATTTGAGAGATGCAGATGAAAACAACACTGAGAATTCACCTCACCCCACAAAGAATGGTTGCTATCAAGAAATCAAACAATAACAAATGTTGGTGGGGTTGTGGGAAGAAAGGAACCCTTCTCCATTGTTGGTGGGAGTGCAGACTAGTGCAACCACTACGGAAATCGGTATGGTGATAGCTCAAAGAACTAGGATTAGAGGTTCCATTTGACCCAGCCATCCCTCTACTGGGTGTCTTTCCAAAAGACTTAAAAGAATCATATCACAGTGACATATGCACACCCGTGTTTATAGCGGCACAGTTTGTAACAGCTAAAACTTAGAAACAGCCCATTTTCCTATCAGTTGGAAACTGGATAAAGAAGATGTGGTTTTCTGTAAAATGGAATACTACTCAGCCATAAAGAACGAGAAAATAGATTCATTTATAGGAAAATGGATACATATTGAGGATATACTCCTAAGTGAAATAATTAAGTCATACTTGTGTAAATACCAAATAGTTTCTCTGATGTGAATAAACTATAATAGCACATAAGATCCTAATGAGATAATTGACATTGTGAAATAGAAAAAAAAAGGACTAAAGGTGTAGGGAAAGTGGGAAGGATAGGGGAAAGTTAATAAGGGAAAAGAAAAAAAGAGGAGAAAATGAAAAAATGGAAATAAAGTGTTTGTAAATGGGGAGAGGAGGAGGGGGTAAAGGGAGGGCAGGGACAAGGGGAAAAAATGAGAAACAAGACCTGTCATGTAAAGGTACAAGATCCCAATAATGAATGTAACTGTACTGTATACCTAAAATGTACCGATAAACTCAATGAGAAAAAAAAAATGAGAGTAATTGAAGTCTATTTAATAATCTCCAAACAATCTGGTAATTAGTTTCTCTTTATTCCAGATTATCCCTTTTGCAGTGTCAAGTAGTTACCTCAAATTTAGCATGTGAAAAAACAAACTATCTACATTCTTTCCAAGCACTGTTAGGTTTTGCCTGGATTTCTGTAATCACCTCTAAATATCCCCCAGCTCTGACCGACCCTGCTCTCCCTACAGCACTCAGTAGCCAAAATGATGCTGCTGAATTTGAAATCATAACATTATATGTCTGCCTAGAGTTCTTTGGTGACTTCTTGTGTTACGCAGTCAGAATCCACCCCGACCC